CTCCCACAGACGATGCCCCCCCTTTCTCTAGGGTGCTTCTAGCATGGTTCAGGCCCCTGATAGCAGCCCCCCCCTGCCTTGCTCTCGGCACCCCATTTGTCTCCTTTCAAGGCACCTTGAGGGCCTCTTCCAGCCGAGCACGCAGATTTTGCAAAGTTTCCTCTCTTTCTGCTTGGATGCTCCTTCAGGAACTGTGTGGCACCAGCTCTCTGGCAGAGCCCTTGTCACCCAATCAAACCTTTCCTGGCCAGGTCCTCACAGGGGGCAAGGGAGGGCGCTGGGGCAGGAGCCTGCGGCTGCCCCATCCAGAAAGTGCCCAGTGCCCGGAGCGGAGACTCCCACCCAATTTCAAGTTGAGCTGAGGGTGCTGCATCCAATCACAGCTGGGCAGCTGGCCCAGGCTCAGCCAATGGGGACGAGGGCCAGGGTTTATATGCCGAAGCCCCCAGCCCGGGCTCTTGGGTCACCTATTGTGCCGGAGTGAGACAAGGCAGCCCCTGGGACTCTGCAGGCTTCGCTTCTCTTGATCAGGTAACACCCCCCGCCCCTCTGATCTGGATATGCAGCCGGGGTGGGGGCAGAATTGACAGGAACAGGTGGGGGACTTTTGCTAGCAACTTAGGGGGGAAAATTAAATGGCCCTTTTTGGAAAATGCTGCCCTTCGTGCAAAGCCCCCTCCGTGAAACCAGGGCTGGGGTTTGCCTGCAGGGGCAGCTCTTCAAGTGGGTATTTGGGGGTGGGGGTGAATGGGGAGGGTGGCCACAGATCTGGCCATGACCTTGTGCTCTCCCTGCCGTGTGTGTGGGGGGTCAAGGGTGGGTAAAGGGAGGTTGGAGACGGGGGGGGGCTGACAGAGCCCCGTCTTCTGCAGAGTCTCTGCTCAACCTCTCCACCCCCTGCAACCGCCCCCCCCTTCCCGGGCTCCCCCCACCCCAGAGGCCGGGTGCCTGGCTTCTCTTGTGGCTGCAGAGAGTGCTGACAGTGGTCGAAAGCCGCCCCTGGAATGCTGCTGGCCAAGGTGCCGCCCTGCGCAGAAGCCGCGAGAGGCGCTGACCGGGGCCCTTTTGTGGACAAAAAGAACCCTCTATAAATAAACTTCCTTCTGAGAGGCTAAAATTATCCCGGCCTTCTGTGGGCGGGGCTGAAGGGGAGGGGCAGAGGCTGTGCCCTCCCCACTCTCCCACCCACTTGGCACCCACACCCAAGACGCTCTGCACAGCTGCGGCCCCCCCCTGGGTCAGCTGACATCGCTAGCGCTCGACCTTGACGGCGACCCTCAAGAAGGGGACCCCATTTCGGTCTGAGGGCCACTGGGGATTAAGACCCTCCCACCTGGGAAGCCTTTTGGGGTGCGAGCGAGGGGGAAGGCGGACGGCTTGTCTTGAGGAGGGTCTCCAAACCCTGCCTTGCCAAGGGCTTCCTCCTGCAGAGCTGGGCCCCCAGCCATTGCTTCCTGGAGGGGCTCAGGNACCTGCAGGTCAATTGCTCAACTGGCTGACATGTTTCCTTCTAATGTGTCTCCCCCCCCCCCAACAAGGGCTAGATTTCCACCTCCTCAGCAGTCCAATTTGGTCGTGCAGACAAGGCGCCTCCTCTGCCAGGAAGGCGTTCCTGAGGCCGGAATCCAGATTGAGCCAGTCCAAAGCCTGAAGGGAGGACGGGGCGAACACAAGGCTGCCTCTGAGCATGGGCTGAGCGTCTACCTGGTTTGGAGTTTAAACACGGGCATTTCTCTGCCAGGCCGAGCACAGCAAAGCAGGCTAGGGGAGAGGGGGTGGCCGTCCTTGGTGGCATCCGCATGAGCTGGGGATGATGGGCTTTGCTGGGCTCCAGGGCGGGAATTGTGCAGCTCTCTGCCCTCTGAACTGGGTGGATGCACCCTTCATTCCTGAAAACCCGAAGACCAGCAGGCCTTCGCTCAGGTGCCACCTGGGACACCTGGGAAAGATCAGATTATTCCTCCATGTTGAGTCACTCATCTGCCCCCCCCCCCGCCTCCAGATCTTGTGGGAAGAAGAAATGCTTGGGATCGGTTAAGGGCAGAAACGGGTAGAAGCATGCAGGGAAGGAGACACTGAGGCAGAAGGTGCCCAGGCTCTTTGGCTGAATCATAACTCTCCATAAATGGAGCTAAATAGGAGTAAATTTATGGGAGAGGGAAAGGTTGGCAAAAAAGAAAGAAAGAAAGAAAGAAAGAGAGAGAGAGAGAGAGAGAGAAGGAGAGAGAGAAAGAAAGAAAGAGAAGGGAGGGAGGGACATTTTGAAACTCCCCCCCCCATTTCTGGGGTCCTTCCTGGGACAGGAGCAGAACTATTTCTAAGAGGCTCTGCAGGATTTCCTAAAATTGTCTCTCCTTTGTGAAAGGGGGGGGCTAGATGCTGTGCCCCCCAGGAGCAACTTCCCAGCTTCTGACTGGAAACAGATGTGCTTGGGAGCCTCCTCACCCCCCCCCCAGAACCCAGGACCTCCCTGCAGAGTCGGCTCTCTCAGTGCCCTCTTGGGGGGGGGGGCATGCCTGCCAAGATACTTTGGTGCCCCAGACGGAAAGTCAAGCGGCCCTTCCAGACTCCCCCTAAGTGGACTCGGCTTCCTCTTCCACCAGGAAGGCCCCTGTGACCCCAGGCCAGATCGGTCTTTGTGGGGCCTTGCTGGCTGGGGGAGGGAAGGGGGGTCAGAGCCAGACCCAGGGGGGGGGATGGGAGCCATGCTGAGAAGAAGAAGCGGGAGGATCTCCTGTGCCTGGGAATCCCCGAGGGACGGTCCCTGCAGCCTTTCTCCCTCCCCCATTTCAGGGCTGGTAAATGCGCTGCCTCCCCCCAGTCTGGACAAAGGGGCAGCTCTATGCACCTGGTCAGGCTGTAGGACCGGACGCAGGCATGGAGGGGGGGGGAGTGTGAGATCAAATTCCCATAAATCCTTCCAAAGAGGCAGCTGCTGGAGGACAGAGGCTTCTCCCTAGAGAAAGGGGGCTGGGAATGAGGAACCCGATCCCACTCTGGCTGGGAGGTGGGGGGGCTGAGGCAGGCCCACTTTGCAGGAGACCCTCTTGGATGGAGCGTGTTTCTAACTGTGGCCCCAGAGAATTTCCCCATGAAGATTAATCCAGGTCCCCCCCACTTTTCCAGGAGGTGCAGAAGGAAAGAGTCCTCTGAGCTTGCGCAGAAGGCTGCGAAACCAGTCCAGGTCTCTTCCTGCGGCTGGCAGTGACTGGGTGTCCCATATGTTGGACTACAAAGCCCTTTACCAGAGCGAGGGAACTGCATGATGGGCTCTGCTCTGCCCCTTGTCCTTCTTACCTAACCTGAATGCCTGGCGGAGGGGGGAACATTTCCTCCCAGCAGCGCCAGGGTTCCAGTTACCGCACTGAGATGAGGAGGGGGCCGGTTTGGGCAGCTGCTGGAGGCCCAGCACCTGTTCAGCTGGGAGTCATTGGAGGGGGTGGGTGCATGGAGCAAGACGTATCTGGAGCAGCTGAAGGGGGGCTCCTCTCCCACAGACGATGCCCCCCCTTTCTCTAGGGTGCTTCTAGCATGGTTCAGGCCCCTGATAGCAGCCCCCCCCTGCCTTGCTCTCGGCACCCCATTTGTGTCTTTCAAGGCACCTTGAGGGCCTCTTCCAGCCGAGCACGCAGATTTTGCAAAGTTTCCTCTCTTTCTGCTTGGATGCTCCTTCAGGAACTGTGTGGCAC